GGAGAGCGGAACTATGGACTGGAAATCTGGGAATAGAGCCTGGAAATGTGGGAATACAGCCCAGAAATGCGGGAATACCACCTGGAAATGTGGGAATACAGCCTGGAAATGTGGGAATATGGCCCTGAAAATCGGGAACACAGGCCGGGAAATCAGGAACACAGCCAGGAAATGTGGGAATATGGCCCGGAAATGCAGGAATGCAGGCCAGAAACGTGGAAAAATGGGCTGGAAATGTGGGAATATCACCCAAAAATGTGGGAATACAAGCCAGAAATGTGGGAATACATCCCAGAAATGCAGGAATATGGGCCTGGAAATGTGGGAATACAAGCTGGAAATGCGGGAATACATCCCGGAAATGCAGGAATATGAGCCTGGAAATGCGGAAAAATGGGCTGGAAATGTTGGAATAGGGCCCAGAAATGTGGGAATACCACCTGGAAATGCAGGAATATGGGCTGGAAATGTGGGAATATGGGCCTGGATATGTGGGAATACAGCCTGGAAATGTGGGAATATGGCCTGGATATGTGGGAATATGGCTCGGAAGTGTGGGAATATGGCCAGGAAATGTGGGAATACAGCCCAGTAATGTGGGAATACAGCCCAGAAATGCTGGAATATGGACTGGAAATGGGGGAATAAGGCCCGGAAATCTGGGAATACAGGCCGGAAATGCGGGAATGCACCCCGGAAATGCGGGAATATGGGCCAGGAAATGTGGGAATACAGCCCAGTAATGTGGGAATACAGCCCAGAAATACGGGAATATGGGCTTGGAAATGTGGGAATACAGCCCAGAAATGCAGGAATATGGACTGGAAATGTGGGAATAGGGCCAGGAAATGTGGGAATACAGGCCGGAAATGCAGGAATGCAGGCCAGAAACATGAGAATACAGGCTGGAAAATCAGGAATACAGCCAGGAAATGTGGGAATACAGCCCAGAAATGAGGGAATATAGACTGGAAATGGGGGAATAGGGCCCAGAAATGAGGGCATACAGGCCGGAAATGTGGGAATATGGGCCTGGAAATGTGGGAGTATGGCCAGGAAATGTGGGAATACAGGCTGGAAATGCAGGAATACGGGCCTGGAAATGTGGGAATATGGCCCGGGAAATCGGGAATACAGGCTGAAAATGGAGGAATGCAGGCCGGGAAATCAGGAATACGGCCAGGAAATGTGGGAATATGGCCCTGAAAATCGGGAATACAGGCCGGGAAATCAGGAACACAGCCAGGAAA